AACTCTTCTCATAAAATCTTTCTTAGCCTCAAGGTCTTTCTCTGTATCATGACAAATTACTCAGCACTGATGACTCTACAGTAACATTTAATATAACTGAAACCAAGACATATCCAGCTGTAGAGGTCTCTTCAAAACGTAACGCGCATGGATTCAGCCAGCCAGTGGAGGACCTACCCTGAGCAGCTGACCAAGCTGTGGTCAGGCCCACGCACTGCCAGTCCTGCAACTATCACTGCAACCATTTTGGAATAGGAGTGGGAGTAGCAAAAGTGAAACCACACCAAATCCTTCTTCGAGCGCTGCCTTCCACCAGCATTCCTCCTCCCACTCACCACCACCCAGTCAGATAGCCACTTCCTTTCACCGCCACTCTCTCCCATCTGCTCTGCTGCTGCCCGCGCTCGTCCTTCTAACCCCTGCGCCCACAATTCCTCCCGACTCCACTCCGTTCCACACACTTTCATTTTTTCTTTTTAGCAAATAGTCCCCTTGACAAGAGCCAAACACTTTAAAGCTGCCAGTCAGCTGGCACTTTATTTCCATACCTATCTCCACATCCCATCCACAGCAAAAGAGAAGAATGGTAGAAGATTAATCTCCCTTAAACATCTCTTTCCAGCAATGCATTCATCTCCATTGATATACTGTGCTTTGTCCCCGAGTGCTCACTCCTTCCACTAACCAAAAAAGAGAAAGTATTAGTAGGAAAAAAAGGAATTAAAATAACTTCTGAGACAGTGAGAAGACATGCAGGACATAGCAAGTTTCCACGTCCACCTGACAAAGGAATGAGAAACAGAAGGTTTGGAGAATAAAAGTACAGCTAAACATGAAGTACAGTAAAAATAAATCCAGACAGGGAAAAATAAAGTAACAATAGCAGGAAAAGGCCTAGTGGATGAAAAGCACAGATAAAGACAACAAGGAAGAAAAGAGACACAGAGATGACGTGACAGACATTACAATCCAGCCAGCAATATTTTGCTTTTAAGAACTACTGACAAAGAACATAAGAGGTATGATTCAGAAACACAACGTGTGAGTAGAAGCAAGCAAGAATGTGAAGGTAAGTGGAGTTCTCTGGATTACTGTACTGTGCAAAGATGACATGATTTTCACCAACTACAGCTGGCACAACTGCTAAAGCTATTCAAAGATCAGCTAAGCCTGCTCGTAAGAGCATCCCTCCTCTCTCGATACAGCATTACCTCAGGCAGCACCCTGGTAGCGCTACACTGCTCCCTAGTTCACAGCAGCACAGATGACTGCACCGCAGTCTTTTCCACAGGAATCAAGCCCCTGCCCAAAGGCAAAAGCAGTTGCAGCAATTTCCTGTAATCCCCGATGAATCTGAACAACATATTAGACATATCTGTAACGCATATAAAAAGTCAGCTCTGCTTTTAAATTATCTGCTCTGGAAGGGATTCTAATCAGACCCATATGGACTAAAGAGTTATGCTAGTAATTCATATCCTGTGCTCCTAGACAAACAGTGCTTCTCTTAATTCCCCTTTCCAAATCAATTTTAGTGTCTGAAATATAGAACATCCTCGTATCTGCAAGAATTACATAGGATGTATCAAAATTACTATTTTGATTGGGTACCTAAGCTTTCCAAAAGTCAGTTTCTTTTTATAACTTGATTTGTATTTGAATATCATGGTTAGGTTAAAATTAATTTTGAGGTCAATGTCGTTCTTTGAGGAAAAAATGAAAATCTAACATTTAACCGTTTTTAAGGAACAAAGCTGCTTTTAATCTCACTGTTTCTTCTGTTCCTCGGGGAGTTTATCTACCCTTGACCATAGCACTTTAGTAAGACTGGACAGTGGGGAGTGAGGTAAGATTTTAATCATTATTATGCTGTCAATATTTGAAAGGACAGCCCCCTCCTCCAAAATGTTTTGTGAACCAAAACCAGGGTCACGAAAGTGCCAAAACAAAAGCATAAGCAAGCTGAAGTCTTTAAAGTGCCTACTATATGTCTACAAAATAAATACAATACACACTGCATTAATTGAAGAAAAATTCCCCAATGCAAGAAATGGCCTATCAAGATGCTTCAATACAGAGGTCTGGTTAATTTTCCTGAACATTCATTCATTTTTAGAAGAAAACTTACTTTTATTATGTATTTACATATATTTATTTTATTTTTTATATTTATATTTAGTCTTGAGAACAGTTTTGCCAAAGACAAGAACAGCAGGAGATTATCAGTTATTGTCTATAAGAAATGAGTGGGCCACTGGCTCCAGGGTATCAAACATACTCAAGCAGCAGAAGTCTGCAGGACATGAGCTCTGAGTAACACTATGGGAAAATGAGTTAAAGAGGAATTAAGTTGGATCTTTTAAACTGATGGTCCTGAGGTCCATCCCCCATGTTTCATGTATTCGCTTACACTGACTTTGGAAGCTGAACTGCTTGCAGCTTTTTCTCAGATGAGTCTAGGGCATTTCAAAGTGAGACAACAGGGTAGTAGCATGTAGGTCAAACTTGAAGCATTACACTGTATTAGAGCACAAGGAACCTGAGACCTACCTACTAAAGTATACAACAAAAACCTCCACCTCATTAAAGGAGAACCTCAAGTAACCAGTGTTTTCTAAAACTGAAAAACACCAGGCCATTCTTAGCTTAAGGCTAAATCCTTCGGCAGGTGGAGTACATTACACTGAAAATCATCAGCTCCTACCTGGATAGAAGTCTGTTTCCATGCTGGTTGATAGGGAGTAAGAAATGGCCTGATATCTTACCCTATTCTACTAGGCCAGTGAACACTCCTCTTTACCAGGGAGTGAAGTGATAGAATGGGGGGTAACAGTTTTGAACTGAAAGAGGGTAGATTTATATTAGATATTAGGAAGAAATTCTTTACCGTGAGGGTGGTGAGGAACTGGAACAGGTTGCCCAGAGAAGTTGTGGATGCTCCCTCCCTGGAAGTGTTCAAGGCCAGGCTGGATGGGGCTTTGAGCAACCTGGTCTGAGGTGAGGGTGATGGAGCACTGGAACAGATTGCCCAGAGAGACTCTGGATTCTCCTTTCTCTGGAGATGTTCAAAATCCACCTGGACAAGGTCCTGTGCAGCCTGCTGTAGGTGACCCTGCTTTGCCAGGGGGGTTGGACCAGATGATCCACAGAGGTCCCTTCCCACCCCTACCATTCTGCGATTCTGTGGTCTAGTGGAAGGTGTCTCTGTGCCCATGGCACGGGGTTTGGAACTGGATGACCTTTAAGGTCCCTTCCAACCCAAACCATTCTATGATTCTATGACTATTACAACAGCCAGAGGCAACTAGTTCCTTGTTCCAAGAGAAATCTCTCTTGTACAGATAATTAATCTGTTGGTAGCAACACTAAGAACCAGGCATCCAGTATTCCCTCCTTACTTCTTTGCCTTGGCACTTGTGAGATCCTTTTCTAAATTAACTCATCCCACTGAACTGACAAAGAAATAACTCCACAAACCCAAACAAAAACAAAAACAGAAAAAAACCATGAAACCCAAAGGCTTTCAGCCATCACAGGTAACCACTATGACTGCAAGCATGGCCTCAGCTGTTTCCATGTCCTGATACTCATAGGTTAAAGCATCTCAGAGAACCACCTCCTAGCCATGCTTCCTCCTTCCCTTTCATGGGGTCAGAGGGTAGTGTCATAGTCTGCTGGTCATGGTCGAAAAGGGCTGTAAAAGAGTGAAAACCCCCAGGCACCCTACCCAGCTGTTCCAGTGACAAAAAAAAAAAAACTTATTTCCTGATCATTTCAGTATGACCTAAACGAGGGATGCCAATGTAGAGAACTGTCCTGGGTCCACCTTCCATCAGCACAGCCTTGAATCCATACTAGGGCTCTGGCAGCCGCACAAAAAGCTGGATCAAAGAACTGATCTAGTTGAAAACATACCACATTTTCATTTATTTTTTCAGGTCAGTTTCAGCCAGATCATATGGCTGTACAGAACTGAATGCTGGCACAAGGAAGGCAAAGAATACCGAGAAGGTGGGATCAGCGCCCTCCACAGCAGCTCAGTGCTTAGGCTAGCTAAAAGTAGTTATTGGAGACGTTTCCTAGCCTGATCAGCCATGGCAGGGAGGCCTGCAGTCCTTCCTCACGTCCCCAGGCTACAGCACAAAGTGACAGAGTGTTTGCAGAAGTATAAACACCCTCTTTGCTCAGGCATACAGCTTAAACTGCTGCCTAGCCTCTGCTTCTAGAACTAGCTCTGTTTTGTTATTCACAGTAGCTAAGAAGGCAGGGTTTCCCCACATGTTCATCTGAAAAATCAAGATGACAGTGCTGCGAAATATTCTATTAAGCTGACAGCATTTCTCATGTATGTTTTGGCTTGTTGTATCATTCCGAGCTTGGTATTTGCAAACAAAAACAAAACTGACAAAAATAAAGGATTTTCTCTTTTTTTTCATGGCTTAACTCCTGGAACTGTGCCATATTTGGAAGCAACAGCTCCAGAAAGTTAGTGCTTCCATCAACTTGGACCTCCACAGGAAGATGATAGGCTCCTGAGCAAGACGACCAAGACAGGAATTGCTTTCGCAGCCTCCTGAGCTAGCACACAGCACACCAAGGCACAGGTCACTGCCGATGGAAGGAGACCGGAAACCCTGCCAGTATTACCATTTTCTTTTTATAAATAGTCCCATGAACTCTAGCAGTGAAAAGGCTACAGGAAAAACAAGAGAAAACTTCCCAAGAAGATCAAAGTGAAGTGAAATGGCTTATTTAAAAGCTTAAAATTTCATCAACCATACCTACTAAGCCAACCAGTTACAAAAAGCATCAGACAAACAAAAAATGTTATACAAACCTTCAGAAAAGGTCCCAAATACACACTATCATTGAAGAGACTGGCAAATTTTAGGAATGCTAATCAAGAAAATACCTCAAGTACTTGATGTTATGATCCCTCACAAAAAGTGAGGGTTTTCAAAATAACAACATGTATTTGATACAACATTAGAAATACTTACCACCACTCCACTCTTGGTGACAGTTTCCCGGTACGTAAAATTGCACACTGCCCAAGCTAGGTAATACGTGGACATGAGCGGGGTCTGTGAAAAGTGATCTGTAACCCATCCATCTTCTTCAAATACAGAAGTTTCAACCGGCATGTTGGACAAAGATAAGTAAGTTGCTTGATGCCTGATGCTGATTTTGAAAGTGGCCTTGTAGATGGGCTCGTCAAAGCAAGGAAAAGCTTTTCGAGCATGAGTAGGAGAAAACTGCGTAACGCCAAGAAACCTAGAAAAGAAGCAAAAAAACCCCAAACAAACCGATTACCACCTGTGCACAGCACTTGGGGGAGGGGGGGGGAGGGCAAACTGTACACTGTGTTTGAACACTGCTTTATCACTTTCTTACCCCCTCTACCACAACACAATTGATACAAAGTAATGGTCTACAAGTTTGCTACAAACTTGCAGACACCACACTGATGTCATATAAATAATCTGTGGTTTTGCATCAGACTTCGGGTTCTAGCAGCAGTTTTGTTTATCAATACGTGAAAAAAAGTTATCCAACATTGGTTATACAATGTAAAACAAGCACAGCCCTCAGTTCAAACCAGGATTGAACAGCCTTCAGAGAGTTCCGTCTGCCCCCAGGCACCGACAGCGCGCTTTGCCATGAGAACTTGTGGTCACACAGTGCACTCAAGAGGGTCAATGTTTTCCGCTGCTGCTTACTTCTGTACTGGTTGCGTGCAGGTCTGAGACACGCTACCACGCAGCACTGCTGCGACTGTGCAGGTCCAAAAGCCCATTCTATGAGCTTTGCAGAATGAAAATACAAGCAAATTATTAAAGAAGCAGAGAGTAGTTCATTCTTATGCATGTGCTTTTCTTTTCTGGTGTATTTTACAGTGAACAAATCAATGTTCTTAGTTAACGGGTCAAATTATGAAAAGATCTGTGAGGAAAAGACATTTACTATGTCACTGTAGAGAATGGGCAGGCAATAAAATCTGTAACTGTTTTCTTTGGAACTAAAGAGATTCTAATCCAGATAGAGAATAGGAACCTTTCTGGGTAGAGACTTACATTTAGATATTTGGAGAAAACCCATGCGCAATGCTCTCTTTGCAGAAACAGAAGCTACACTTTAAAGGTTGAGTTATGGGGTTCGATAAGAACTTTTTCTGGCGGCATGCAAGATGAGAAAATTACACTGAGCCAACCACATAGCTGTAAAGGTAGCACATATGTAGGCTTTTGGAGTGTTATTGATACATGTCTCAATTTCCAAGGTTCCATCAGTGGAAATAACCACGCAGTTTTAGGTAACAAGTAAACATTTATCAGAATTTTAGAGGCTATTCCTCTGAGGGAAGAGGATGTGTGGATAGATCTGATATAATGAAAAGGGTGGCACCTATTATTAATTATAAGCATTATTCTGCAATATGATACTCTAACACCAAGGGAGAAAAAAAATAGGTAGCCCATAAGGAAAATAAAGTATCTAATTAATTTTTTCTAAAACTTCTTAGATTTTATATGCATTTTGGAGCATTATTTTATAAAAACCAATGAAGAAATAAACTTATTGAAATGTTACGCTTTCATCCTCCTGTAGTGCATCATGCCTGACAGAATAAGATATATGGATTCCAGTAAAATTATCACCTCTTTCAAATAAGGTTAATTTTGTAAAAACTTGAAAATTTTTTCCATCACTGAAGCAGTTACAGTCAGTCACTTGTCTAAAATCAAAACCCTCATTTGGCTAGTAATTATTGAAGGAATTCATCATATCACATTTTTCTTGTCTCATGAAACATGCATTACTAAAATCATAATTCTGCATAAGGTTGTTAAATATAAGGGGAAAAGTTGGTGCCAGGTATTCCAGTGTCAATCCAACAAAATTCAATATTATCAGTGGATTTGCACTAGTGCAACAAAGCCAAGACAGCAAATTAAATGAAGCAAAGCAACTTGAATTATATGCAAAGTATTTCAAGTGGACTTGATTCTGTATTCTAGGCACACTCTAAACAGCTACAGACATCAACAGAATCTTCAACTGAGCATGGAAAACTATACTGGCCTGGTATTAACAAAGCAAGAATGATAAACTTTCCTCTGCAATTAACAATTTTAATGAGCTCAGACATACAAGTAAATGCATATTTGGGGAATACTGTATATATTCTGACACTCTCTAAATAAGGAAACTTTTTTTTTTCCCCTCCCACTTCTCAAAGATACCATCAGTAGTCTTTTAATATTAGGTATGTTTTAGGCCAGACTGACAGAACCTGATAAACTCTGCATCTTCTATATTCTCACAGATAGATCGATCGATCGATTGATCCACTTACACACAGCTGGACAAACACTGGGCAGTCAGTGTTTCACACTAAAAATACATCAACTACCATGTGCATTACTATCAAACATTGATTTGCTTGTTGTGCTATAAAACAAAACAATAGTTAAAAACTACTTCCCAAAGACTAAACCCTTACACATTAAAAAAAAAAATAAAACAACATTGTCTATGTTTATCTGTTTCTCTCTGTGTTAGGAGGAATAAACAAGCAAAACTGCTACAGCATGCCAAAAATGAAGAGCAGGCTGAGTATTTCATCCATCTCTCTACACACCTCTCTGGGCACTGACGTTTTTATCTCCAGTTCCCCAAAATATCACCGTAAAAAGTTGTACTTCTGGGAATGACAGCCTTGCAGCCTGTCTTCTCAGCGTACCCATGGCAGTAATTTGCAGGTGTTTTAATTCCACCTCATCTATTAAAAAAGACATGTGTTTCTTCAACAACCTATCTATTTTGACATCTTAGTTGTTAGAAGAGGGAAGAATCTGTCTGTTTGTTTTGTCTGCGTGATGCAAGAAAGTTTTTTTTCCTTCTCCTTTATGCCAAAGTTTGATGTTCATTTAAATTATGTGTGCATATTCTTACAGCACTCTGCAGTAGCTTTGTATTAAATGTCTGATGATTACTGCCAGTAAATTCTGGCACATAATACAAAGTAGATTTGTAGCATATCACTTGCATTTCACATTTCAATTAAAGCAGCAAAGATTTCAGTAAGAAGATAAATATTTTTATGCGGCTATCAACATTTCAGGATGATTCATGACTTTCACCTGTGAAAACCACAGAAAATGAACTAACTTTATTAAAAAAAAACAAAAACAAAACAATAAAGTGAAGGCATTACCATGTTTGTGAAGCCTCACAGTTAGCCAGAGTTATTCACTCCTCATGAACACCAAAAGTGAAAAATGGTGGTTTAGATCCTTTTACAGCAACCGCTGCTCCTACGACGTTGCTGCATTTCAATCAAATATAAAGATGTCAAAAAGCTAAAGTCCTGCTGGAACACCAAGGTCTCCCAGAACATGAGAGAAGCCTGTCTGTCCATCATAGTAGAAACCATCCATGTTTAAGGACCACAAATGGTTATATGTATTACATTAAAAATGGGTTATTAAATCAAACTGCATATTGGTACACTGCAAGAGCACTCTCTGAGCAAAGAGGTTCCCTGGTTTAGAATGTGTATTATTTACTTTATACTACATTGAGTCGTTAAGCCTGTGACAGTTGAAAAGGAAAAACAGCAATTCTGTTAAACACCTGAAACTATGACCACACACTGATTACAGTTTTTAAAACATTTTACTGAAAGAAATATGTGAGTTGGTATAAAGAAAAAATACCACTGATTTCAGTAGAACAATGCTACCTTACATACGGCAAGGATCTCTCCCAATATGACTATATTCAAGTGTATTAAAAACAAAGCAACTTGTATCTGAAAAGTTATACAAAGAGCACTGCGAAGCACATTTTACCTTCGCCTTTCACTCCATGTCTTAAGCTAGCTTGATAATTCAAGAAGTGAATAGGCCTTTTGTTGTTTTTTTTAAATCACAACTGGGGCATCGGTATTGAAGTGTAATACAGTAACTTTGCAGAAATGTCACTGCAATACCTATTTGACAGTTCAATTATTCCTATACAAAGTCTAAATACACGAGAATAATAACCACTTCAATAATTTCTCAGGTTTGTAAAGTGAATTATACCCCCTGCTGTCAGCAGTATTTTGTCTTCTGATTTGCCCATTTCCATACAGATCTGCAAGAACTCCCCATTACCCCAGTCACTCACTCCCCAGGATAAAGGGCATTTTATCCGCATCTTTTCCTACAACCACGCTTTTCTAAATTTCCACTTTATTCCACTGCGATGACAAACCACACAAACTTTACTTCAATCCTGCTTGCGGTTCTAACATCGGGCTGTTTAATACTGTCAGTAATTAAAGTTAACAAAAATATGTTTAAATACAAGGGCTGTTGACTTCATTGAGTTGGTGAGCACTCCTTTTCTGCCTGATTTACTTTTTTATTCCCCCAAGTTTTCCAACTATAAACTCTTCACAGTATAAAACCGTGAAGATTCGGGAACAGAGAACCGATCACCGCACGGATGTTTCAATACAGGACAGCTTAAAAACAAACTACTTTTAAAACGCTAAGCCGTGCCAGAACTATCCAGAAGCCCACCCCATCTTTCTTTTCTATTACAAAGCCTGACTGTGGTCAGAAAACTACTTTAAAAAAAAAAAAAAAAAAGCCTCCCTCTTTCTCTAAGCCTCCCTGGTGACCCTGCCCACTGTAACACGGACCTCGAGGGACCCAGGGGCTACCAAGTCGCTAGAGTAAACACAGACCAAGCCGGGCTCTTGCTGTGCACGAAGGCGGCGGAAAGTGGCCGGGCTC